CGCTACTAGGTTGGAGGCCATTGCTATTAGGTTGGAGGCCATCGCTAAAAGAAACAAAGAAAAAGAAAAGGAAGAAAGGTCTAATATAGGTTGCTAGTAGGTAGGAGGCGAACACAGTCACTGTGTGACGGGCTGAGGTGGGATCCCATGTCTGTGGTTTCCAGCGCCCAAAGCCGCCACGGTGATCCTCTTCTTTCACGCAAACGCTGAAGACCTGGGCATGTCCTTCGCCGTGCTTCGCCACGTTCGGGACCAGTTCAAGGTGAATGTTTTGGCGGTGGAATACCCCGGAGACTTGTCTGACATGCCGACAGAATGTCTGACCGGGAGCTTTTCAGTTGTTCTTCTCTCACCAGTGGCCTCCAAGCTAATACTTGTAATAGAAGAGAACACAAGACTACTAGCGATGGCTCCCAACCGACTAGCGATGGCCTCCATCCAAGGATATGGCTTGTTACACCACATGGAGCCATCAGAAGCTGCAGTTTATGAAGTGGCCTTAACAGCCTTTCGATTTCTGGTGGATGACATTGGTGTGAGATATTCTCAGATCATCCTCTTTGGGAGGTCCTTGGGGAGACTGAGCCCACATTGCAAGGTTTTCTCTGCGAACATGTCTTGTCATTCTTATTTTTGTTGCATTGTTGTTTTAACAATTTACATGCTTGTGCAGTGATAGGCGTGAAGAAAAACAAACAATTAATGCTGGTTCATTGATTTATCAATACTGGGGCCTGGGCTGAGGAGTGGTCCTGCTGTCTTCTTAGCTGCGCAGTACCCGGTGGGTGGTCTCATCTTGGTCTCCGCCTTCACCTCGATCCGAGCAGCGGTGCAAAGCATCGTGGGTCGCGTAGTGGCATGGACCTTCAATGAGCGCTTTCCAAACAGCAGGAGAACGGCCAACAGTGAAGAACGCTACTAGGGGCTCCTGGCATTACTACTAGGAGGGACGCTACTAGGGGCTCCTGGCATCGCTACTAGGAACAAGAACACTACTAGGGGCTCCTGCTTTCTTTCACAACTTTTGACAGTCCAAATGAAATCGGTTCAGAGTTGAATACCTGAAAGCTCTTGGTCCATTGGTTTTTCATGCTGTACATCGTCTTACTGCGTGAAAAAAGACACCGTGAAAATCATAAGCATCCATGTAGTGTAAAGTACATGACCGGCTTTTCAGATAGCTTGCAACTGAGCTGCCCACGCGCACACCTGCCGTAGGATCATTGCAAATGTCTCCTGCTCCACGCTCTTCATTCATGGAGAGGCTGATAGTCTCATCCCGGCTGAGCACTCTCTCCGGCTTTTCAAGCGATGCAGAGCGAGAAAGTGTCCTGATGCAAATGACGATGAAGACCGCAGTAAACATGTTGACCTTTCTACTTCTCTACGAAAAAAATGTATATCAGATCTCTACATCCTGCCCTTCGTTGGTTCTTGCGTCGACCTTGCTCAAAACACTACTTCTGATGATGCAAACAGGCTCTGTGAGGTGATATTGAACATGACACAAAACAATTAGCGAGAAACAAAGAAGAAAGAAACACCTTTTGGACACCAGGTTACTTGTGACTCCACCAAAGATGGAGCACAACTCCAACCTCTTCGGGGACGCCTCCTTCTTGGCAGTCCCTGCCATCCACTTCTTCGGGTTTCCTGGCTACTACACAGCTTCCCCACCCCGGCTGGCGGCACATCTCTTCGAAGATCCTGCCAAGAGAGCACGATTGCAGAAGAGCAAGCATGAGCCTTGGCGGTATATCGACACACATGATCCTTGAGTGTGTGGTTGATTTGCAGCGATCGTAAGATGTGGGCAGCGCAGATGGGCTAGAACAGACAGTGAAAAATACACAACTCGATGAAGAACTTCTGTCACAGGTGTTCGGAGTGCTGACTTCGGAGTTCCTCCTTGCCATCTTGCCATCCCCACCGTGACCCCTTCCCCCTCCAAGTCCTCCCAGGAAGCGTTGTCATCTCTGACGAAGCCTTCGTGGCTTTGTGATTGCTTGGCCAAGGGAGATGCACAACACCTAGACGTAACCTTCTGCCGACAAGAGAACTCTGTGGAGGATATGGGGAAGTCGAAGTTTGGAACAGAATTAGACGATTGCAGACAGACTTAGACGTATCTTCCTCTTCGTTTCTCTAATGTTTCTGGACTCAAGTCGAAAAACCTTGGCAGGACATCACCATCCGCTTCCATGACCCCTCTCAGCTAGAGTCAGTGGACCCCGACTTCGGAGATCCCAAAGGCATCGAAGCGGACAAGGAGATCAAGGAGGACGAAGAAGCGATGCCCTTGTTACTGGTAGCGTCTTGCTACTAGTAATGCCATTGTTACTATTAGCGATGCCCTTGTTACTAACAGTTGAAAGTTGAAAGGCATTCCTTTTTTCAGTGTCGTCTTGTTCACCGTTCTCACCTTCGGCTGGTGAACAAGGCTACTTTCAAGAATGTCTCGTTGAAGAACAACTTCTGTCTTGGACCTGGACTGACAAGAGTGCTTAAGCATTGTTCAACTCCTTAAGGAAGTTCAAGAGGCTTAGGTCGCAACCTTTTACCGACAATGAAAGTTCCTTAGATGTTTTTCTTTGAGAGTTTGGGTTCGGGGTAGTCCGGGTCTTGTACTTCTAAATGCCCTTCTCTTTTATTGCAAAATCCCTGGAGTGCGCACAATGCTCTTTGAAGGGCTGTAGTTGGACTACAATTTTTATAGGCCCTTGCTTCTGGAGGGCTGCTTGGATGCGACCCTCGTATGCGACTAGAAACAGGAAGGCTAGAAGGCTTGGAGGGCCTCAAAGTTGAGCCGCAACCTGGACGAACATAATTTGATCCGGTGAAAACCGCCTGCACGAAGCAGAATCGGCTCGTGGGCGAACCTAACTAGTCGGACCAGTTATGACTCTCTCCGATCAGGCCATTTGTGTTCGACTCACACGAAATGTGTCCACTAGGACCTCGAAAAGGCACCTCGAAGAGAAGATGAACGAGAGGAACCTATTGTGGAGGAGGTAGTCCCACACAAAAGTGGCTCGCAGCGTGGCGAGGAAGAGAGCTCCGTGGTGATGTCCTACACCACCTAGGACTGTCAACTATGTCAACAGCTCATGCTGGGTGACATGGGTGACGCAGCCAATGAGTTGAGGCAATCCCATGATGGGAAGCTCCATTTCCCCGAGCTTTTGCCAGTCTGAAAATGGATGTTTCACCGACTAGCACGATCCTGGCTCAGAAAACGCTCCAGCAAAGTCTTTGACTGCTCAACATTGAATTTAACTTGCTTTCTTTTGGTGACCACAACAGAGGTGCCGTTCGGATTGAAGTGGGGTAGAGAGAACGGATCCGTGATTCGAATTTGATGTTCTCTACGGTACTTGATGTAGAAGTACAAACAACAGAAGCAGCGCTTTTTCGGGATTTTGCTCTTCGGAGGCGAAGAGCTCCGGCGAGGCATGGAACTCAGGGAACAGCTCATCCCATTACAAGGTGATTTTGCGTCTCAGTTGTTCCTTCCACATCAGGAGAGTGGCGGAATGTTGGACATGCTTTTTCTGAATGTTTTGGACATGCTTTATCTGGCCACAAGCGTCACCTCTCATTTTGTTCTGCCAGCTTAGGCGGAATGCGACGAAAGCCGCAAGTGCATGTGGGGCGAAAGTGGCGGCCCTCGGTCAGCGATTCCGTGAAACTGAAAATACTGAGAACATCTGAGAACAATCTGCAAAAAATGATAAACAAACGATATTTGCACTATATATAATGTTATACATAATGTCACTGTCATAAACGATGTTTGCAAAATCCGTATATCCGATACGCACATCCGAGTTTGCAATTGAAGAATACGCATGAAGAAAACATGAACCTGCTTGTGAGGTGTACTGTGTCCTGACAAGCAGGGCTCCTGGCCGAAGGGATTTCCGAGGGCTCAATGCGTTGATGGCATCTCACAGCTTGAAACACCGGGATGGCTTTTTAACTCTTCAAATTGCTTTAAACTTGTTGCTTTTCAACTTGGATGAAACTATATGTCCAGCCAAGTAAAGCACCGTATTTGAAAGTCGCATTGCGCAGACGCCCAGTCGAGGAAGTCGAGATGTGCGGGGAGTGGCTGCTGTCCAGATGGTTCGTGAGAGGCCTCAGGTAGTGTCTCGATACTGCCACTTCAGGCCTTTCCTTTCGTTTGATTCCCAAAAATCCTTAAAGAGGTGCGTGCACCTCTTTACACATTTTGCCACCCAAATTGGACATCGTCCTGACTTTCCGAGGATGTGCCCCTCAGCGCCACCGGGCGCAACAGGCGAGCGACGGCGAGCGTTGTTGGTTTCGTTTCGAGGCGAGATGCGGAAGTTCGAAGAACTCTGAAGGCCAGAAGCAACAGTGAACCGGGTAGCTACTAGTAACAAGTGCATCGCTAGTAGTAACAAGTGCCTTGCTAGTAGTAACAATAAGCTAATAGCTAGCTCCTAGTAGTACGGCCAGGAGCCTTCCTAAGTGAACCGGGACACATTTTAACCGGCCAACAAAATATATCCTTCTCAGACTGAGTGAAAGTCCTGTCACGAACATTGCCAGGTTGCTCAATGGGAAAGGCCTTCGACTGCACTTGTGCAGGACCTCAGACTTACACGCGACAGTCTGACGATGCTGAGATGACGCGTCCATCGACACTTCTGAAAGGTAGCCCTAAAGGAGAAGAGAAGAAGAAGGTAACGGCCCCTAAAGGCATCGCTACTAGGAGCAAAGGGCATCGCTACTAGGAGCAAGGACGCTACTAGGGGCTCCTGGCCTTACTAGGAACAAGGACACTATTAGGAACAAAAAGGGCATCGCTACTAGAGGCCTTTTTCACAGGGCCGTTATTTTTGTGTCGAACTCCGTGGCACTCCCGCTGGCAGGTGCACCCAAACCCAAAATCATTGGCCACGCGAGTTGCCTTATTGGTGCCCAGAACTTAGCAAAACCTGCGACTGCTAATAGAAGCTGTCTTTGTTTTTGTCTTGGCTTGGAGCATTGGATTGATTGGTGGCGAGGTGGCTGGGTGAAACGACGAAGCTTAGCACTTCCGAAATGGAAAAGATGTCTTCCCCATTCCCGCTATTCGGTTGGAGGCCATCGCTATTAGGATGGAGACCATTGCTATTAGGTTGGAGCCATCGCGTCTCTTCACTTCTTCCCCAAGAAACACAATTTTCTCTTTTCCATTTGCGGACAGATCTGAGGCCAGTGTCCCTTGTCCAGACAATCCGTTTGGGCCTTGGGAACCAGAACGGGAAATGAGAATGACAATTGTATATCAACAGCAAGACAACAAGACAATTTGACTGAAGAAGACACGTAACGTGTGCACTGCCGAGGTCAACGAAATGCTCAATGGCTGGTTGTTGTCCAGATGGCTCGTGCGACTTCTCAGTCTTTCGATCTCTCATTACTCAGCTAATAAGCTTGTTAAAACAAGGGCAAGGAACGAAGATCTAACCAGATCTAAATTCTTAAGTACATGGAACACGCTGATCTAAACTGCTATTTGTCAAGTTTCCCTAAGAATTCTACGAACCAAATCGACCCTTCGCCCTAAGCTGTGTCCCTGTAGCCTTGTATAAAAGTAGCTAGTAGTAGCGTACCGTGACTAGTAGCGTCTATTACAAATTAAATGCATTTTCTCGTGTCCTACCCCCTTCCAAAGGTACGATCATATATATATATATTACTATATATATGATAAGCGGATATAAGTATGAACAGTCACTTTAACTCTACATACTTATAGACTGTACATGTTGATACATATATATAATATGTGTAAGGTTTTGTTGTTCTTAGGAGCTCTCTTTTATGCCGTTTGTCGGGTGCCGATTCTGAGGACCTGCCCTTCAGCACCGTTGGGCACCATGTGTCCTTTTCCCAAAAAGAAGGACTGTACCGGTCCAGTCCTCTGGGAAATTCAGGACGCCGATGACGTCGATTACTTGCTCTGCTGCTGCTACTACTACTACAGCTTTGCCAAGCTAGTTATCGTTGGAACACAAGACAGCAGCTTAAGCCGTGTGTTATCGCTTCAGTCAAGCTTGATGGCAAAGCCAGAGACGGTTCTTGATCCTCCCATTGTACATTTGCCATGCACATGGGGATACACATATTTATCAATGCAGTCGCCAGTCTTCCTCCCAACCAAGGTCAGACCATCGCCAAATACGATGCTAGCATTGAAGAGTTCCAGCCAAACGTACGCCAGCGAACTGTGGACATGCCTTGAAGATGTGGTCGGTTTGCCTTGGTTTGTCGTATGAGAACACCATTGGATCTGAATCAGTTTGATTCAGTTTGAGTCTTTCCACATTTTTGCACCTCGTGGTGAAAGCAGATCCGTCACATGGAAAGCAGTCTTGGCGTGTGGCGGGAGGTTTTCCGGAGCTTCAATCCCTACGCATCTGCCGCCATTGCATCTGCCATGGCCAGGAAGCTGAGGAGTGACGGTTCACGGGATGGTTCAACCGACGGTTGAAGCAGGTAGCCGGTCAGGCTACCTGAATCCTCTTTGCTTCAGCAGTGGGTGCAATCCGGCTTCAGATTTCCCAATTCCTTGATTTTAATGTTCAAGATGTTCAAGTAAGGCTAAGTAAGGATGTTCATCCTCATCCCGATCTTGAGCATCAGCCCTATCAATTCTGCTCCTGATCACCCATTCTGATCCATCCTCGGTTTGTAAGATGTTTGTTTCCTCTTCTTCCTCTTCTCTTTGCCTTTCCCACACAAAAGCGCTTCCTTAAAACACAGCGCAACTTTGAAGATTCCACTCTTGGCATTCCGAGCAAAGGTGATTGCTGCCTTTACCTTGTTGGTCGTGAAGGCCGTGCATAGTTCTTCCCTTTATGAGTTTCGCAAGACTTACTTCATTGCTTTGCTTTTCTGCTTGTTCTTGACGAAATAGCTCTTGTACACGGCCTTTGACTTAGGGCCGAAGTGCTTCGAGACACTACATCATCGTGGAAAGCTGAGGGAATGTTCTGTTCAAGTCATCGAAGCACTTGTTCTGCGACGCTATCTCCCAGGTGCCGGAGGGTGAAGCCTGAGACCCCCACTTTTCCGAGTGTGGAAATCAGACAAAGCAAACGGGACACAGAGCAATGCACAACTGCAACAACACATGTCGTTAATCGACAAGGAAAGAGGAAAAGGTGTTGCTGTCGATTTCTATGCATTAGACAGGCTTAAAATCAGCCTGTGATCCAAATTGGTGTGGGTCAAACCCAGCGAGATCGAAACTCTTGCATTCCGACCGGTTCCAAACCATGGCCATCTCAACCCGGTGAACTCGGTGACATGTCATGTGACATCTCAAACCTTTCTATTATGTCATGTCGTATCGTGGCGACCCAGACCAAACCTTATGTTTGGGCCAAAGTGCCTGCTGACTCCTGGGAACTCTGACTCTGAGCCGGAGGATTTCCAAGTCTTTCATGAGGACTGCGGTCTTTCAGTTTAAATCTCAGAGTCTTTCCTTCGGATTTGAGCGCTCCTACGCTTCAGGAGCGAATACTAGCTTAATGGATCGCTTAAAGAGCTCTTAGTTGGCAAGTATCATGTCATGTCGATCTATTTTGACTACAGCAGCTACAATCTGCTGCAGCTGCTTGCAATCCCACCGTTTTGCGTTGCCTACTTTCTTGGTGTTTAGATAGAAATCATTCTTTCATGACGGACTTGAAGAGCCGATTCATGACCTTTCTTCGACAATCTTCGGGTTCTCCTTTCTACACTTCAGTGCACTTCAGCAAAAGGTACGTCTCATTTCGTTTCAATGGCTCTTAGGTTGGAGGCCATCGCTATTAGGCTGGAGGCCATCGCTAGTAGGTTGGAGGCCATTGCTATTAGGTTCCTTTTGCGATTATTGAGAACTCTTCATGACTTGGTATCTCAGTGACGTGATACTAGCACTGTCTTCGTGAAATTTCCAAGTGTGAGAGCTCACCGTTACTTGCTGTGGATCTGTGGACAGAATTTTCCGAATTTGATGTCTCGGACCTTCCAAATTTGCAGTTTGACTATGGGATGTTGAACCTTTTTTTGTGTCCCTACGAATTGCGCAGAGCCATGGCTCCTGGCTTCTCCAGCATCCCAAAAGGGAGGCTTTCTGAGTCCCAGGCAAAGGCGGTCAACAGCTTTCCCTTGCACTGCAAGACAACAACCTACTAGCAATCGCCTCCACCCAATACAGTCCATTGCTCGTTACTTCTTCGAAGCCAATTCAACAAACAAGTGGACCGATGAACGTCCGCCACGTCCTTGGGCTTGCGTACTCGCGTTCTCCTTCGGGGCGGCGCTCGAAGCGGAAGCCAAAAACCGGCCGCTGGGATCGAGATGATCGAGATGGTTAAGTCGAATGTTCACCCGTGGGAATACCCTCTGCCGTTGCACCTCGTTGCGTTTCGGACTAGAAGCATTGCATATCATCGCATACAACAACATCATCTCCTTTATATCTGTTCATATACAGGTTTATTTGTTTTCGTCAAAACACCCAAGCTTTGCGCCGGATGTACGTGTCCTTGCCTTGTGATTTGATTTGATTCCTGTTGCTTGTTCCCAGCATGTGTCTTTCTCTTTCTGTTGTCATGTCATGTAAATAGATAAAGAATGATAAACATATGATACTGGTGTGGTGCCATGTTTCTCGGCCCCGCGCAGGTTTGCGACTAAAGCAAGGCTCAGGCTCGTCATTCGACTTCTTCGGCCCGGATCGTGTTTTAAGGCCGTCAGGACCGGCGCTCCAAGGACGCTAAGCCAGCCTACGATATCCTCCACATTTGTTACACATCTGATGTATTTTAAGATATTCTCAAGTAAAGGAATGCGATTCTGTGAGTCTGCAAGGAGTCTCTGCTGAAGGCAAAGCTCCTTGGATCGCCTTGGTTCAACGAGAACTGGAGAAGGCGATGCAACACAGGAATTAATAGTTGAGAGTATTCGAATGGCATAAGAGGAAACATGGCGAGGTACGTGTCGCGCGTGTACCGACCCCTTTGTCTAAACCTTTTCGCTTTATGGCGTTTCCCCACTCACAGGTCTGTTGCATGCGATTCTCACATCCTTTGTGCTTTAAAGAGGAAGATCATGTTTTCGAACATTTTTTCAACTTTTGATCCGCTCTATCTGCCGAACACACGCACTGCCGTGCTTGTTCCAGGATTCTTGTCCAGAAGCACGGCGACCAGAGGTCATTGCTTGCTTGAGGCTAAACAACAGACAAAGGACACAACAGGCACATCCAAAATGCAATTTGAGAATTCATTTTGACTGGGCGGCGTCATATATTTACTTGCCAACCAAAAATTGGAAACAGAGGAGAAAAAAGCAGACGAAGAGCGGGATTGAACGGATTCTGATGCTCAAAGTTGTCATGCCCTTCAGCCTTCAGTCAGATTGACCTTGCGCCAGGCCTCCAAAATTGCGGCAGGACACATGCCTGGCTATCGAATTTGAGGGTTCACCTCAGAGACACCAAAACTTCAACATTCAGAGAAAACACTTTTGTTTCATTTTCCTGTTCTTGATTCAGTCGGAGCCCTGTCGCAGCAAAACACAGGTTTTCGGCTTGCAGGCGTTGGCTCAAATTTGTAGATAGGAGTGTTCGCTTTTAAAGACAGAAGTAGAAGCGGACCTGGGAAGCCAAGGCCAGTATCAGAGGGATTCAAAGTGAAAGATAGAAGACACGGATCGACGTGACGCGAAGTAACCTCTTCTTGTTTCTACTGGTAATAGCTTCTTGCTCCAAGTAGTAAGGCCAGGAGCCCCTACAAGTAGTAACGTCCTTGCTCCTAGTAGCGATGCCAGGAGCCCCTAGTAGCTTCTTGTTACTACTAGTAAGGCACCTGTTACTACTAGCGTGGCACTTGTTCCTAGTAGCTTCTTGTTCCTAGCATCCATTCCGACTCTCTTGGAGGTCATGTCTTCCAGCGCAGTGCCCTACATTGGCCGCAAGATCAGCTGGAGTGCCAAGGGAGACTCGAAGAGCCAGGCTAACCAGTTCCAATAAAGAAAGTCAAGAAGGGAAACAGAGAAGGTCGAGAAGTCTACACAGAGACATGAAAGAACAGAAAAGAAGAAAGGAACATGAAGGAACAGAAGAGATGAATCTTAAACGACAGGACTTAAACGACAGGCCATCGCTACTAGGGTGGAGGCCATGGCAATTAGACTAAAATCTAATGGAGAACAGCTCAGAGCTGTGCCATGCGGTGCCAAGGCCTGGTGTCAAACTCAGAGATACGCTATGAAGGCATTTTGTACACCATCAACACGCAGGAGAGCGCAGTGGGTCGCAGTCTTGGTTGTGTCTGTTCTTTTTTATGCCTATTTAAGAGCAGCAGAAGTGGACAGTTGGAATCGTCAAATCCGCAGCCTTTGGGCTTGGAGTGACTTGATGGGTGCGGATGGGGGATGAACTTGGATGTCCCAGTTTGTGTTTGAGTCATGTTGTTTCAACACGCGAAATTACGATTGTCCCCAATATTCCGTTCCTATTTCTCGGTACAGCACTTTGCTGTATCCATTTCGATAGCGGATGAAGCTGCTGCTGAGCTTTGTGCTGGGCGTATCCGCCGTGAATGTCAAAGGGCACTTGCGCCACGACACTGGGCGACTGCAGTCAGAGTTCCCTTTCTACCACACCAGTGAGGACAGGGAGATTCAAACACCAAAAACCATTGGAGTCCTTTTCTTTTTTTAGACACCAACGGACTTCAGCCCTTTTCTTGTCAAACTAAGATGGGAAGATTGCTGAAGTGCATCCTTGCCGAAAGTATACCGTACTCGTACGTAATTAGTACAGTGCACTCAGTACACATGCCAGCGATACATTCCAAAGGATCGACTTCCATGCAAATGCTATAAAGCTCTTTTCAAAAAGGGGCTATGCGAATGTGAAAGTGGGCATCCTGCCTGGACTAACGTCAATGCATCATGACCAAATAACACCAAACAGTCAACCTAGAATGGACCGCTTTTCAAGCCTTTTTGATTTTTTTGTAGGCAACATTTCACGGCATTTGCATTCTACCGTGTTACACATCAATCCCTTGGTTGCGCTTGCGCGACTCTTTGAAGGAGTTAGAAGCGCAGGCACGGCATTTGGTGTCAAAGTGCAAGGTGCACGCCGAGCTGCAGACAGTAAAGCAGGACCCCATGATTCTTGCCAATGACCATGAAAGAAGTCCAGAGAGGTTTGGCACCGGGTTTGGACTCAGCACTTCACCAGCAGTTTCGTTTCCGCTAGCAGTCATGAAGGACTATGTCTCCATTGACGAGATTCGCATCAAGAAGACTCAGAATGGAGCTCCGAAGAATAGAGTTTCATTGCTCTTTGGGGAGCACAGCCGGGAGCTGATTGGTCCAGAGACAGGGCTTATGCTCCTGACGCTCGGTATAGGCCAAGACCTAGATGTCATTTTTATTGTGTCCCATAAACATTCCTCGCCAGCTGCCGTGAACTTTGTTTTGCATCCCCGAAGATTGTTTGCATTTCAGGAAAATGCTGTGCGGAGAGATAGAAGAAAAGTTATTAGACGAAGCGCTGAAAGATTCCGAGTTTCAGCTGATCCTCAATGCCAATCCGGTTTCTCGAGCTCGTGTGGAAGCAGGAGATGGTCCCGCCCCTGTCACCCCCCCGTCGGTTGTTTTCTTTAGCTTCCATCGTTCTTGAAGCTTGAAGTGTTCACTAGGTTTTTGACGAAGAGCAATAGTGAAGATATGAGTGAAGATGCTTGTTGAAGTTGAAACGAACAAGCCACGGCAGGGGAATATTGTTTACGTGAAAACCCCCACGGCGTGGACTTGAATCGCAACTGGGATGAGAAATGGAACTTGGGCTCTACAGCTTCCAGCGACAACCAATTCCATGGTCAGCGACCTTTCAGTGAGCAGCTGCGCTGCACGAAAGCAAGACATCCAAACTATTGACCTTATTTGTTTAAAACCACACACAAACAACGCATAGATTAACACCCAAAGAACACTAAATATATACTCAAACAATTTGCTATTAGAAACAAGTGCATCGCTTCTAGAAACAAGTGCCTTACTAGTAGTAACAATGTTCGCTATTAGTTAATTTACTTCTAATAGCAAACATTGTTACTACTAGTAAGGCACTTGTTACTACTAGCGAGGCACTTGTTACGGTTAGCCCACGAGACGTTGTGCTCCAAGGCCCGAAACGCAGCTGGTTCGGGACCTGATCACTGGCTTTCAGCCGACCACTTTTCTCTCAGTGCGGAGCCCGAGGTAACCGTTTCCGATTTTTACACATGGAGCAATGTTCGCTACTAGTAACAAGTGCATCGCTTCTAGTAACACGTGCCTTACTAGTAGTAACAAGAAGCTACTAGTAGCTCCAGGCCTTACTACTAGGAGCAAGAAGCTACTAGCCGCACTGTTTCCTGTTGAAAATGTAGGCAACCGCCAGACGCAAGATGCTTGAGGTGCACAGCGGCACCCTGGGTATGTACATGCCTTGGGCTTATGACAGTCAGCACCTGGCAAAGCGGAACCGCGGCCCCATGCTCTCTGTCTTGGAGGACACCCGGGGTGTAGATCAGCAAGGAATAAGTGCAACTTACAGAGTTGCAGGTGTCTTCGGGCCTCGTTCACAATTGCAGATGTCAAATTTCTATTCGTTTTAGGTCGGAGGCCATCGCTCTTAGGTTGGCGGCCATCGCTATTAGGGGTTGGTAGCTTCTCAAGGCGTCTCTTGTTTTCACTCCATGACTCAACGCTACACCATTGGAGTCTTGCGGCCAGATGCTCACCGCCTGCTCACCGGGGCTTTCAGGAATTAGATTCAAGTCATTGCAAGTGTCCCTTCGGGGCAGCTGGAAAGGAGGTCGGCTACGACTGCCCTGGCACCAGCCCCTTGGCCTTTGAGAGAATCCAATGTAGCAAACCATTTTAGAGATCACCAAGTTCCGTTTTCTTTGAGGCTTTGATTGGGTGTACGACCACCTAAAGGCACCGTTCTCCTTTGCTTGGGAGATCTATGCGGACCCCCTTGAGAGGGAGGGCTTGAGGAGGAGGCAAGGCCACAACCATCCCTAGAAAAGCACGGCCAAAACACCAAGTAAACTTTGTGAGCAACAATCAGTAACGACCGATAACAAGTAGCTCATGAACAACACACATCAATCTTACAGCTAGGGACACCTAGAAGGATTAAGCCGTCAGCTTGCCGAATGGGACTTCGTAGGGTTGAAACAAAGCTGTTCTGAACCACCATGGACACAAGATGACACAAGATTCCTTGCATCTCAAGTCACTCGTGGTTGGGTCTTACACGTTTATGCACTCTCCGCAGGTGGGAAGAGAAGGTTGCCAGCATGCAGACCTCTGAGCATCCAAGCAACTCAGTCGCCTTTCACAGTGAACTCAATCGACTTTGTCTCGACACAGGGAACTGAAACAGGAAAACAAGGGACTCTGCCGCAGCAAGCAAGCTGTAAGGGACCATGATGGGAAATGCAATAGCAGGGTGATAGACAGTACTGGGATGACGTCAAGGCATGAAGATGACAAAACACCTTTGTTGGAAACGATGATGAATCGGCTTTTTTTTTGCGTCAAGGCTTTGCGCTGATGGAGCTTTATTCTGGAATGCAGACAGATTTCATGGGCACAGCCCCTACACTCTTGAGTGACTGCTTCTCTAGCTTCAACCCTGGCAGAGAGGCAGGGCACGGTGTGGGCACGGTGGTAGCTGTCTCCGAAGAGAGGATCTGTGCTTAAAACCTTTTAAAACCATGCTTGATGGTAGGATGATGCTGCGCGGCTAACATTGATTCTTAGATGGCCTTTGCCATGATTGAGCACGCCATGTCTAGGGGCTTTTGGTTTGTTGCCCTGTTGCAGGAGGAGTACAACGCCACAGTGACCAACTGGGCAAGATCCTACCTGAACCTGGCCATAAAAACATCGCCTCATGTTTGACATGCTCCAAAGGAGCAAAGAGGTGATCAAGATCAAAACTTTCTGATCCATGCCATGGTATTATGCCACTCCACTTGCCGTGGGGGCAACTTGATCTTGAGCTAGAGACGTATGTCGAGAAGGAAAAAGGTGCGAAAAAACTAGTTGAACCAAACCTGGTGTCGTCATTTGTTAGCTTTTATCGCTACGAGGGGCTCCTGGCATCGCTACTAGGAGCAAGGACGCTACTAGGGGCTCCTGGCCTTACTACTAGGAGCAATGTTCGCTACTAGTAACAAGGGTATTTCTACTGAAAGTCTGGCGACTTCGAGTGTCGGTCCTCTTCTGTTCAAGGAGTCCACCATTGCCCTCCAGTCCGTGCGCTCTTTCGGCACGGAGGGAAGGCAAGGAAATTGAGAGAAAGACGTACAAGCTGTTGGCAGTGTTTCTCTTTCTCAATTTATTGAGTTTGTTTTGTCTATTTCTCATAGTATTCGCATTTTGTGTGAGATTTGTTAGTTGCCCAGGAAGATGCCCGAGGTTCCTCCTTCCAGCGAGGCACATGGGGCGGTCCCTCAGTTCCTGTGTTTGTTCCTTTATGATCGTTTTTTGTGTTTAGACCTTCTTGTTTTCTTTCTGGCTTGCTTCCTTTGTTTAGTAGCCATTGTTTGCTGAAATGAGTATCCTTAATATCCACAACTGTTCTTGTTGGAAAAGGACGCTTAAGTCCGGTCCAAGGCAAAGAGGAAAGCCAAAGATCACAGAATATCCCTGGTAAGATTTTGAAATGCTTCTTGTTCCTAGTAGCGTCCTTACTCCTAGTAGCTTCTTGTTCACTACAAGAGCTGGATGGGACTTTGGCGTTTCAGAGAGTTCTGCTTGGCGGACAGGTCTATGACTTCATCATCTTCCGAGGGCAGGACATCAAAGACCTCACTGTCCTAGACAACCAAGGGAAGCCCTCTAGTGCCCCATGGCAAAAATTAGAAGTGCAAAACCAAAGCCATCACAGTTCCTCAAGCAGTTCAGAAGGCTTCCGAAGCAGCTCAAAATTGTCAAGCAGCATTATTCCACAGGCCACCGGCCACTGTAGGCTTGTTTGATAAACCTGTGATATCCTGTAATTTCTCGCGCTGAAATTGACATGTCAGTTTGAAGTTGACCAAGTGCTGACAGCCTTTAGCAGACGTGGGCACTGAGACCTCCGACCCTGCCATCATTTCGGTAAACCAACGACCTGCTGGAGGCGCAAAGAAACATGCCTTGCATAGCTTTGGCTGTCGGAGCGCCGATTGAGTCTTGGGAGTTCATCTCATCTGAACCAAATCGACTTTGGAGCTGCTTTGGAGCTCGTGCCACTGTGACGGATAGTGTAGAAGAGCACAAGCTGCGGCAGTCGAGGCAAAGATGCCAAAGGCAAGGGTGACTCAGGAGGCCCTGCGCCAGGCACCAAAAGTGTGATGCAGTTGTGTCGTTTGTCCGAAATGGCGAGGTAAATGTGAGGTGGAGAGGTTGTGTGTTTTGGGTGATATTGTTCAATGCAGACATCGTGTGAATGACACCATCCTTCAGTATCCACTCCGTCTCGGATGTCAAAGCCACTCAAGCCTTTTTGTTTAAAGCTTTCGTGGCGAGGGAGGCCACTATTGCTATTAGGTTGATCGGAGGCCATCGCTACTAGGTTGGAGGCCATTGTTGTTAGAAAGAAAGTGCAGAATGTGCTCTGCAGTGCCGCAAGCAGTGCTGCCGCGCGCCTACCTGTGCAGGCTTCATGCAAGGCAAAGCAACCTATGGGTCCCGCTGCCGCCATTTGGCTGGTCGCCTTTTGGTTGAAACGCAGAAGTTGTCCTGAAAGAAGATCACTGTCAGGATTTCCTCATTTGCAAAGTAACTAAGTCTTTTGAGTTGATGGGTTGCGAGTTCGTGTTTTGTTCATGCTGTTCCCCTCTGTGGAATATTTTTCATTATTTTTCAACTCTCAAGGTCCTTTGACCTAGAAAAGCTGGACAAATAGGCAAAAAACATGGAATTCAGAGCCGGCAAAGCTACTGGCGACCAAGCTTCCCCCCAACACAATTTCTTCTATCCAGGGCCCAGGGATGCTGCATTATGCTATTGTCTTTTCCAGACAAAAGCGCTCTGAAGGTGCAGACACACTAGATTGCAGGGATGAAGTTCGAAGGACTTATCATCTGAGTTTCTTGCAGGGTGGAACACGATTTGTTGAAAGAAGCATGTGGGCACCACAATTCCAAAGCTTTGAGCAGAACGCCATATATGGAATGACCATGGTAGAACCGCTCGACACAACAGAAACGACAGCCACAACAGCCACGACAGCCACAGAGTACTCCCAACACTACTGCGTTTGTGGATTCCGTGCCATGGTCACTTTGCTGCATTTCTGGAAGAATGCTGGGCGGCCTTTTGTGCGACGATGCGTCACAGCGCACAGAGGCTAGGGCGGAGTGGTTCTGAATTCCACGAGTAGCTTCTTGCTCCCAGTAGTAAGGCCAGGAGCCCCTAGTAGCGTCCTTGCTCCTAGTAGCCAGTAGCTCCTAGTAGCTTTCATTCAGATCGTCATACACCAAGTCCTTTTCTTTCTCTGAAGCCGAAGGCGTCGCCTGTGACTAACTTGCACCTAATTATACCTGCTCAGACAGCATCCGGCCTGAAATCAGGCCCCATCGGGGCCTGTTCATCAAAGCCGGCTGTAAGGTTCGAAATTGCCTTCGAGAACCAGCTAGGAAGCTCTTCCTGGACATCTGCAGCCGTATTGGCTTCATGGAAAAGTTGCGCCAACACTTTGCAGAAATCCGCTGGATATTGTTTCAACGCACTTGTCAACCAAGTGCCGTCATCAGCTTTGCCGATGCGGCCTGTCTTGGGAATCGGCGTAGTGCGCCCGGCAACAAATAGGCCATCGGGGTCATCGACTCCGTGCACAATGAGCAAATCTGTCGGTTTCATTGACAGACCGCCGTATCGCCCCTGATCAACCCTCACACGTTTGCAGGAATTGAAACGGAGAAAGTAGTGCATTATGGCAAGTCGCCAGATCGAAGGCAAATGGTCTTCTTCAGGCTGCGCAGGGTGTTCAAGCACCCCAGTCGCCCCACACAGCAGTGCTGTCCAGATAAGCAAAACTGCTACCGCCAGTAGTCGATTGCCCAGCTCGACCTGAAGGCTCTCTCGCTTCGTCAAGTGTAGAACCCCTTGTGGTCGGGTGCAGGACCGCACCATGCGTGGACCGCCCTCACATTGAACCGCTCTGGCGCGGCTCCATGTCTCGCATGGAGGCCCCGCCATGAAGCCCAGGAGCGCACCAACACGTAGAGCATGCCTGAAGGTATCCAATGTATCCTGTCGGAGAAGATTCCCCCAGGTAACATCATAGATAATGTCTATGGACACCGACGAGAAACCATACTTCTCAAGATAGTGCTGAAGGTCTCCTTGCCGGCGCTCGCCCGAAAAGAGATGAGCAACTACTCGAGGATGGTACCTCACTGACCTCGCTGGTGTCCATATGATGTCTTGGAAATGCCAAGCCTCTCTTTCAAAAAAGGCGACCGCAGCCTCCCCAATCTGTTGCGTCCTTGTGGTGCCAGTAAGGAACCACTCCGCCGATGCTTGGCACTCAAATAAATGGAAAACTCGGAGCCCACTAAGTGCTAAATCTTCATGTGAGGCGCACCAGTCTTCGCACCAAGTTCGAAAAGTGGTCATAATCTCTTCATGGAACAAAGTCGTCTGTAGGGTCGCCTGTCGAAGGGCTTCAAGCCACGTCTGGACAGCTGTTTGGTGTACAGAAGCTTGGTCCCACTTCTCCATAAGCAGCACCTGCTCTGGGTGCTCATCATCAATGAGAGCTGCTGGGGATGGGCAACGAGGCCCTTCCGCATAGAAAAAGGGATCACGGAGCAAGGATCGTTGTTGGTTATCTGCGCGACTGTTTACTCCAGGCTGCCGAGGTACAAGGACTCCTCTATTGGCATAGAAGTGCAAACAGCTCTGTGTCCTCTTCACATGGTTGACTAAATCAGGATAGGTGGCATAATGTTTGAGGCACCTTTCACACTGCGTCCCTTGCACAAACTTCCGTGCTGGATTGATTCGGTCGTGCTTTTTAAAAGCATGAACGGCCAAGTCAGCCCGTCTCTGAAAAATCCGTTGGCATCGCAGGCAGTAAAAGGGCTGTTGGGGGATTTGTGCAAAGGCTTTATAGCCAAATCCTGCTTCGACCACCTCTTGCATGATTATCCCATGCCACTCCTGCCAGTGCTCATCAAGCTTCCTAGAGGCAACGTGTCTATGAACTGCCCGTTTGATGTGGCCTTTCCAGACTTTCGGATGTGCAAGAAGGAAATCAGCAAGGGATGCCCAGTCCGCTAGATCTCTCTCGTCTGTCTGTAGCTCCGGACAATGGTCACACAACCATTGGATGTCCGCCAGAACAGTGGGCCACCACTCTCGGTCTTCTTGAAGAACCGCCCACAGGTGTGGTTGTCCAGTCCTACAGGTTTGTTCGAGATATCGAAGTCGAGCCTGTCGCACTGTAATCTCTGGGTCAGGAAGTTCCAGCTGATTGAGCAACTTGGTAATGGGCCACTTTTGTGCGTCAATTCCGAAATGCAGGACTCCTAGCCGCTTGTAGAGCCTGACAAAGGAGGCATGGAGCTGCTGCCTTTGTCTTTTGTTTCGCGGCGTCCAGAGAGCCGCATTGTGCACAATGGTACTCACCACCATCATCTGAAATAGTTGGAGTTTCTTCTTCAAAGCCAGCTTCTTGTTGGCAAAGACCTGATTCCGGTACTGCGTCATCAGGTTGTGGGCTGCCGCAAACTTCGTACTCAGGTCACGTGCAATGCCAGAGCCGACTTGTATCCACGATCCAAGGTGCTTGTACGCTCCTACCACTCGAACAGCATAATCCGTGAATCGGGATGGAATCCGGAGCATGTGATCGAGATGTACAAGGTTACGCCGTGCTTGCATGGATGCTGGCCCTCTCAGGTCGATCAGCACCTCAGTCTTACCTGTCTTGAAGTTCGGTTTCAATCCAGCTGCCACAAAACCATCGAAAACAATTGATGCAATACGAACAGTTCTTTCGAGCAGAACTTCTGCTTCTGGATGCGAAAACGCCAGTGCCAGATCATCAGCCCAAACAGGTGTCACAATGTCTAAACGTTGTGTCGGTCCTGGCCCCCGAACTGGAGATCGATTGCCATCCCATAAAGGCCCAATGGCAGGGTATTCTGCACGAATCTGGCGATTGATGCCCTCCATAATTTTTTGCAGAGCAAACGAGAAACATAGGTCTGCAAAACTGTCACCAGGTCTGCTCCCTCTCCTTGTTTGCACCACCACATCATCTGTTTTCAGTCGGAACCAGGTCGTGGCATAAAATTCTCTGAAAAGTACTTTCAAGAATTCAGGTGCATCGGAGCTTTCCATCGCAGCTGGCTGTTGCATCAACTGTGAGAACTCTTCAAACACTTCTCTTGGTAATCGTAGTGCATCGAAAATCTGAGCTGGGGTCCGTTGATCATCAGGAACATCTAGAATGTGCTGTCGAATGAGCCGATAGAAGGCATTCGCCACATCAATGAAGATGATAGCTACGGAGTGGTTTCTCCTGATGGCTGTCCTATGGTAGCTTTGCAACGTATGCGCAGCTTGGCCCACACTAAAACCTTTCAAACCCCCGATTTGGAGCGGTAACCTTTGCTTTTCAAAGATCGCAGCTAACTCAGCACGGTAAATGGCATGGACTGCCTTACCTACCACACTGCTGACGAAAAGCGATCGATAGCTCTCTGGCTGACCAGGATCACCTTTTTTGAAAGCAGGTGTTAGAAAGCCGCCCTTGTGAATGATCGGCTCACGAACATGCACAATTTCCTTACAGATCAGGGGATAAAAGATTTCAGCCATGCGTCTCGGCGCAATTGCCAGAAGCTCACCCGGTATATTGTCTGCGAAAAAAGCTTTGTTCTTCGCAGTGCGTCGAAACTGCTGCTCGAGTTGGAAGAGCGTTGGCATTTGATCCCAGTGTGGGCAAGGCCGCTGCGTGCGATCCGTCGCATCAGCAGAGGCAAAAATCTGCGAAAACGTAGTTTCGCAGCCATCTTCTTGCTCAAGGAAATATTCTCGCCATCTCTGCATGACTTTCTCCAATGTGTCCAACGGCTTGTCATCCAGCCCCCGAAGGATCGGTAGCGGCTGTATCGCCGAAGGCTTCTTAGAGTTCCGAACACCTAGGGCACGCAGAGCTCCAAGAAAGTCTTTTTTTCGCATTGCATAGGACCGTTCGGCAAGTGCTTCAAAAGATCGTGTTCGGTCTTCACGAAGACTTTGCTGCAAAGCTTTGCCTGTAGCAGCAACCTGCCTCCGAACCTTGAGTGCACGCGAAAAGAACCTAATGGCACAAACAAGAAGAGCTTGCTGGTCAAAGACGGCTTTATCATTCCAGACCTCCCACGCCTTTTCCAAACTCAATCGTTCAAGCTGCTTACGGCACGAGGAAAGATCATGTCGAAGTTTCAACCTCTCCCTTCGGATCTTCCAACTTGCACCAGAGATATATCCCTTTCGGGGTTTCGAATGAGCAAGTGGGAAATTTTCTTGCAGACGCAGAACAATTTGCTCAGACAGTGACGTGGCATGCTCATCTACCCCACTCGTCCAGGCAGGAAGTTCAATCCCTTCCATCACTTGCTCAATCTCTTGGGTACTTGCATCTTGCAGTGCCCGTCGGTCAAAGATGTCCTTTTTCTTTGCTGTTCTATTACTCAGTAGGGTCAAAGTCACTTGCAAGGCCACCGGAATATGGTCGATTCCAGCTCCGCCAGCATCGAGGCTAGGGAGACAGTAGGATCGTATAGAACCAGGCCGCCATGCCTTGGGAATCGCCAGATAGTCACATCTGGCCCCACTATTGTTGCAGCTGTGGTGCCAAGTCACGTGGGCCCCGTCGTGAAACTCATCAAAAGTGCTGGGGAGAAAAAGATCAAACCTTTGTAAAAACCGCAAGAATGCACGTGCTCCCAAATTGGTCGTCCCCTCAAGTCCAGCTTCTCCAACCGTCTCATGGTATGGTTCATGGAAATGCGCATTGGCATCAAACCCACACACAACCGGGACATCTGGTTGCCAGAACTGTGCCAACTTATCGGAGACTTGTGACCAGTAGGAAACAATCTCATCATGGGGCCTTCCACTGTGTGGGCCATGCCCATTAACAATCAACAATTGCTGGCCTCGGCATCGTGCCTTAACAATCAACAACTCGGCTTCCGCATGGAGGACATTGATGTGTGCTCGCTCAAAAATCTGACCTTTCGTTCTCGGGTCTGTTCTAGCCATCCATAGCTCCAGACCGCCTTGTCCGTGGTCAGCTGCCACCTGGATACGGAAGAAGGACTGCGAAATGACCATTTGAGTCTGGCGGC